TATCTCTAATATAAGCCTTGCTATTAAGATGAATGGTTTAACTAATGCATGCAAACCTTTAATACTTACAGTTAAACTGTAGGGTTTATATATTTTATATATACAATATAATCATTTTAGTCCTAATATACACTGTAAAAAAAATTCCGTAAAATTTACGGTAAACAAACGGCAGCTGTGGTTGCCGGAATTTTACCGTAAACAATACGGTAGCAACGTTTTAGGTTTTAACTTAAATTTACAGTTAAATACCGTAATTTCATTAACTGATATAATGTTAATATACCAACCTATTGAAGTACTGAAATCTGTTTTGTACCTTTGTAATACACTGATAACCACCAAATGCAGGAGGTGATGAGAAAGTCACATGATGAACCAAAGCCCATCACAAGCAGCTTTTAAATAATAACATATATAGAAGGTGCACTATAGTAGAAAATAACAGTATAGATTCATTACTGGTCTACGAAGATATGCAGTGATCCCTATTTGGTATTAGCCTATGAATTCACAAATATATATGCAGGAGTACAGGAATATATATATATATATATATTTATATATATCAAGATGTGGGTTATGTTATTTAAGTTAAGATCGTTTATGAGACTCATGGATGTTTGTCTGATTGATAAGTGAATGTGTAAATCAATGACCTTCTGCTGTTTGTTTGCATGTGCTACATTATAAATCCAGACAGATTTCTCTATTTACAACCTTTATGATCTGAAGAAAAATATCACATCACTTTCCTGTTGTGTGTTTTTGTCCCGCTGTCGCAGATGTGATCTAATATAATCTGTGTCTTTCTTTCTTCCTCAGGCTCTCTTGGTGTTGATACAGATAAAGTGCCAGTGTCTGTGATGGAGGGAGATTCAGTCACTCTACACACTGATGTTAAAGCAAACCAGCAAGACAAAATTAGATGGTATTTAAATGGCATTCGTATAGCTCAAATCAATGGAGATCTCAGTAAGATCTGTACAGATGTTCAGTGTAATGAAGGTACTGAGAGATTCAGAGACAGACTGAAGCTGGATCATCAGACTGGATCTCTGACCATCACAAACATCAGAACCACAGACTCTGGAGTCTATACACTAGATATCCTCAGCAGAATAATCAGTGAAAAGACCTTCATTGTTTCTGTTCGTGGTGAGTAATTTATTCAATTATAAAAGCTTATTATATAAATCAAAAGTTTTAAAACACCTACATTTTCCCAGGTTTTATTGAAATGTGTGCCATTTAATGCACATTTACTATGCTGAATTATAGCAAAGTACAAATAAACAAAGATTAAAACGAGATCATGGGATCTTAATTTTAAACTACCTAAACTACTTTCATCAGAGTACTCAGATATAAGAGCTGAACACACTTGCGTCATTCTTTTTACAGTGGAAGTCAAATATTTTTGAGAAAGTTCTTCCCAACACTGTTGCAGAAGTTCCGACAAATGTGTTGCACTTGTAGATCACCCTGCTTTATCCCATTACTTACAGAAAACACTCTGAGATCTACATTAAACATTATTGTTCTTTAAAAAACACACAGTCTGTGTGAATGGCCTCTCAAACTGCTCAAAAATAAAGTGTTTAGAAACTTGTGTCTTAATAGATTTTTAATAGATTAAAAATCTATTATTTCATTTCGGTTTTGAGTTCAGAGAGGATGCAAAGTGCAGAGAATTTAATGTAAAATGTAATTATAAGCACAAAATGTGGATGTAAAGTGGAGTTTGCCTAGCTTATGGTCACTTGCCAGCATTTAAAAGTTAGAGCTCTCATTGATTTTTGCTGTGGCTTTAAATACTTAAACAGCAACCACCTCATTGCTGAGAAATATAATGTAGTATTTCGGTAGCGACGCTATTTTATTGATAGAAGTCATGGAGCAGATTTGACAAGACTGATCAGTCGCAACATTCTGAGGTATGTTATTCCCGATACCAACGCACTCATGTGTTTCACATGTGTCATATCACACCGCCGCGCTCTCGCCCGTTTCATTCCACCTGCTATCACCTTGTCATCTTCATCTTGACTGTATTTACTCTAAAACGAAACCGGAGAACTTCACTCATAATAGTAGGCTTGCGGTATTGTTAAAAGTCTTCATCTTGTTGCTAATTGTTTTGTACACTGTAATAAATTTAAGATAATAAACAGGTACGATTTGAAAATGCTTTCTTCTCAAATAACATTTCATGTCCTCGTCTTTATTCATGTGGTGAAAAGCTGTGCAAATAGTGAAACGACTGTATGTGTTATGCCTTAAATATCTGTCTTGTCTGAACGTCGTCTAGGTACAGAGCAGTTTTTTTAGGAACTGTTTTTCTTTGCGGAAGCTTTGCGCTTAACAAGCTAATAAAATATATTGCTTTACATCAATATTTTGGGTACAATTATTTACTTATGTGGGAAGTAGCTGTGTAATAAGAAGTTTATTCTGCGATAACAACCAGCTGGATGTACATTATCCCTTACTTAGTCAATCAGAACCAAGTATTCAGATAGATTACAGTATAGTCATATGTTAATTTTGTTTCTCCTGATTTTCTCTAGTTGATTTTTTTTATTTTTTTCCTCACAGAAAAGACCTACATATAACTCACTTCATTTGTGTTTCAGGTGTGTCTGCTGTAGAGACAAATGAAGTGAAGATGAACTCAGTGAAGGAGGGAGAATATATCACATTAGATACTGGTCTAATAATAGACAAAAAGGATTTAATGATGTGGTATTTTAATGGATTTCGCCTTGCTTATATCACTGGAGGTCCAGAAATCTGGAAATCTCCTCAGAGATTCAGTGTCAGGCTGCAGCTGGATCACCAGACTGGATCTCTCAACATCACAAACAGTAAAACCACAGACTCTGGACTCTATAAACTAGAGATCACCAACAGCAGCTGCACCAACTCTTTGCTGAGCATCAGCAGCAGCAGAGTCAAGAGATTTCATGTTACAGTCAGTGGTGAGTCATTCAGTAATGTTCAAAACTGTTAAATTGAGCTAATGAATGTTTTCATTATAAACATTTTTTTAAAAGTTTCTCATGCTCATCACGGCTGCATTTATTTGATCAAAATTATAGAAAAAGTTAATATTGTAAAATATTACAATTTAAAATAAGGATTTTTAATATACTTTAAAATATTATTTCTTCCTCTGATGACAAAGCTGCATTTTCAGCATCATTACTCCAGTCTTCAGTGTCACATGATCCTTCAGAAATCATTCTAATATGCTGATTTATTATTAATGTTGAAAACGGTTTCAGTTGCTGCTTAATATTATTTGGAACCTGTGATACTTTTTTTTCAGGATTCTTTGATGAATAAAAAGATCAGCATTTATTTAAAATAAAAATCTTTTGTAACAATATACATGGTGACACTTTATATTAGGGAACACATGTTCACTATTAACTATGACTTTTCCCTCAATAATGCTTATTAATAGTTAGTAGGTAGTTGTTAAGTTTAGGCATGGAGTAGGTTTAAGGGATCTAAAATATGGTCATGCAGAATAAGGCATTAATATGTGGTTTATAAATACTAATAAACAGCCAATATGCTAGTAATATGCATGCTAATAAGCAACTAGTTAATAGCGAGAGTAGGTACTTAAAATAAAGTGTTACCATATACCAGAGATGGGCACTCGAGTTAGTGACTCGGACCCGAGTCGCATTTTTATAGACTTCAAACTTGACTTCAGACTAGACCTGAAATGACTCCAGACTTGACTCGACTCGAGGAAAAGGACTCGTGAATATTTTAAAAGCAACTCGAGTCTTTTATCCTTAAATACTTATATAACTGATATCATGGGCGTTGCTAGGCCATTTTTAGGGGGGCTAAAGATGCGTTTCCTCATCACACTACAGTTGTTTCCTCCAGCAAAAATTAAACCGCATACTTTATGAAACGATCATGTTGCCATTTGAAAATGTAACTTTCAATATAATACATATTACAGTGCATGTGCAAAGAGGTTTGCATACTTGAGCTAAAGAAAGAGGGTTGTACTAGAAAAGCAAACAGTACAATTTTGTGTTTGTAACTACAGTAAAGTGTGTGTGAGATCAGGAAGGCTTATTCAGTACTCAAATGTTATCGGCTATATAGAGGAAATCTTGGAGAGGAGCCTCTTGGAAATGTAATTGAATACCCCTGACTTATATAATAAAAAAATAATTTATTTGTATGGTTTTGTAATATCTGTGTCACATATTT